AATAGAGCTGAAAAGAACGTTTAGAGGGGAAGCGGGAGGGGAAAAAATATTTGATGGATGCTGTACATTTGCAGAGAGCGAATGAATTCAGAAGACTCTTCATTTCCAGAGATGTCGTGTGAAAAGTTTGCAAATAGACCAGACTTTCTGTGACATCCTTTTGGTAGTTAAATATTAAAGATTCTCTTAATCGCTGCTAGCTGCAAGTCAAACATACCTTTTTCGGGGGGGGGGGTTGTTGAGAATATTTAACTTTTTAAAATGTGTGGAAAGTTGTAGAGTTAGAAGGCACCTCAGAGGTCATAAAGCTCAACCCCCTGACAATTAGGGACAGGGAAATATGTCAAATTCTCTCGGTTTCTCTTTTTCCCCCAATCTTAAATTCAGTTCCTCACAATTCCATCTCAGTTTGTGATTTTCTTTAAAGGCCTTGTGGAAGTTTATCAGCATTTTAGTGCTAATTTCTCCCTAATATACATGTTCATATGCAGTTCTGCCAAACACACAGTTTTTTGCATTGGAATTTTCCTTCATATAATGCACTTTTGCGAGGTTATTTTCACCAATATATGCATTTTTTACACACTTTACCTCAGAGTATACATTCCCCCCCCCCTCCACATTACTTGAGTGGAGAACTGCATAGCAAAATTCAACGAAGTGCAAATTTCAAAGAATGGATGTGTTTCAGTTTGTATAATGAGCACTCACACTGTACATTGTGGGTGCCCTTCGCGGGATCGTGAATGGTGTTACCGTTCCCAGGGAGCTTACTGGCAGACAGGGGCTGGCTTGCCTCTCAGTGTTATTATTTGGAGGTTCACGTCCAGCCTCAGTAATCAAGTTTCTTGCTGGGAGTTGGGACCAGTATAGGGGCTGGAGCTGACAATAGCCAGGCTGTCAGCTCTGGAGATTCACCCTCCCTGCCCTCCCTTTGTTTAATGTTTTCTTGTTTGCAGCTTAACATTTTCTTCCTGTTTAATGGGTGCTGCTATGGTCTTTGACTGGTTGCTGTTGAAGGACCAGGAAGAAATTTTCCTGCATTGGCAGGTTTTGTCTTCCCCGTAGCAATTCGTCACAACTTTGGTGGTTATGGCCTTGGGTGGAATCCTTTAGTCTTTTCTTTCGGGGGGGGGGGTGAAGTGGTGACTCACCCCCCTGTGAAGGCGATTCCAGGATCCCCTCTTAAAGGGGTTATATATATGGGTGTCACTGGCCATACACTGAAAGGTCATCAGTGAACTACCCTGCGTGCGGGGACATGGGCTTGCTCCCTGTTACACTTATGTCTCACAGAGCACCCCCATATCCCATTTACCCTGATGAGCCCCAGTTCCCCCTGGCTGGGGGGCAGAGATGGATACACGCCCAAGGCCTAAGCCAAGGTCTTCCTACATTCGGAAGTTTCATAAAGTTGTGGCCTAATTTTAATTCCATAACATGTTGTCAGAGTCTTTATTGCTTCCTTATGATGCCTGGGGGCTGGGGCTGTCGCTGCCGAGTCACGCAATGTTTGGAAAGCACAAATTAGGTAGATTTGCCTTAAAATGCAAACTGAATCAAACCTCTCCTGTATTCCTGCTGCCGATGCAGGAAATTCATAGGTAAAGCCTTCCTGATCAGTGCTCAGCAGTCTCTGCTTAAAAACGCAAGTGGAGAGGAGTGGATAACCTTCTGATGTGCTCTGTGTGTTCGCCATGACACCCTCCAGAATGCAGCTTTTTGGACAAAAACAAGAGGCTAGATACCTTTGCTGTAGTGGACTAGACCCTTCTTCATCAGTTTCATGAACAAATACCACTATATGCCTTACCTTCCATGTGATTAACTGGACTCTTCTCTAATAAATCCATCAACACCACAGAACTCCATCTGAAACTCTTTCCATTTGAAACTGTTTTTCTCACCCTTCCCAGCTCCCCAGATTTTGTTTTGTTTTTTAGATTTTATTTTCAAAAGGCCCAGGGCCTTTTGCCTCCATGATGGAATAAATAACTGTTAAAGCTTTCCGCAGCTCAGGTCAACAAAGGCCAGATCACATCTGACAATGCTACAGCGATGAATTTCTCTCGTAATCTGGACCCATCCCTTTTGAGATGACAGGCACAACTAGGAGCTGATACGCTCTCCAAATGCTGCTGACTGCAGTGTGCGTTCTGTCAGGTGGCATTTCTAAGAAGTGGCGCCATGTGCAGCTGACCTCTGTGAAAGTTTAGGAGGATCTCAGGGCAGGTGTGTCTGACTGTAACTACATGGTGGAAGAGGCAGGGAGATTTAGTCACATCAACTAATTTTTTCCCCTTGCCATAGGTTTGCCATAATGTGATGGAGAGAGCAGAGTCATTCCTCTTCCAAGATCTGGGTTCTGCTGAAGAAGAGTTGTCCTCCTGCTGCAGACCATCAGCCACCAACACATCAGGAGATGCAACAACAGCAATATGAACATACCTGATGGGACATGTCCCTGTTAGAATTCCTGCTCCGTGATTGCAGTCATAGGATTGTTGTCTTTCACATGACGTGGTATGTTTTGAGTCCACAGAGTGGGAAGTGACGGAGACAGGATGTTTGTGTTACTGTGTTCTGTGAAGTGGGACTGTTGTCCTTTGTTCTTTCTCTTTGCTGTCTGATGCTAGAGAGAGAGGGAGCCATGTTGCAATGCTCCATGTGTGTTTATATGTAAATAAAGTAGATTAGCCAAAATGCTGAGTTGCTGAGGTCTGTTACGAATGATGCACAAACTCTGCGGATCCCTAAGTGTGTTGGTGTCTGTTGGCATCGGTCGCTGTGATGTTTGGGCTGAAGAAAGCTTTTAAAGCTTCCGAATGATCAGCCAGGAGGGAGAGAACATGCCAGTCAGACATGTGTCTCTGCCAGGGTCCTACCCGAGTGTAGGCTGAGCTCCTGACAGTCCCATGCTCTCCCCACACAAGGGAGAAGGAGAGGGAGTGGTTTTGGGGGGTGGTTTTTCTACCTTTCCTTCTATGGAGCCCAAGTTGGTTTATCAACACAACAACCCTGTGGGATTTTGGTTGCAACCACATGACACTTTGTCCCATTTTCCCAACACTTCCCTAGCAGTTAGTTTATGCATGACGTAAAAGCCACATCTGGAAACCAAATGCAATTTAGCACATGTTTAGTGCTCCTTTTCATGTTGTCTGATGCCATAAAAAAAATCTATTTCTAGCCTGTTTAAGCTGGAAAACTATGGGAGTAGAGTGACAGGATTTAGGATAGTATAGCAGCATGAAATTCTTTCCTGCTGTTTTTATGGGGGAATCATGGGCAAACAGAAGCACCCATGAGTGGAAAGGGCGAGGGAACAGCAACGTTTTCCAATGGCATTCATTGTTGTATCACACCATACCCAGTGGTGGGAATGAAGTTTAACACCACAAGGTGATACATCAGTCCGAAAGCCACAGTTCCACAATGCAACAAGTACTGCAGCGTGAGAGGGACATTAGAAAATGAAGAGTAGGGCTAGCAATGTAATCTGGAGAACTAATGCAATATTCCCCACATCTGAATACATAATATGTACGTGGGAGTTTTGTGTATTTATTTTTTTAATTAATTACATGTCTTTTGGAGTAGATGTGTCTATATTATAATGGGGTTATATTCAGAGCAGACCCACTGAAATTAATAACTAACTTAGAACCATTAATTCCAATGTGTAGGAATTTCATGGAATCCAGTGATTTTTAATTTATGTTTTTGAATATGTTATAAATTGCTTGGATAGCTTTCTGTGTGACAAACGATATAACAACAACAACAACAGCCAAAGGTCACCCAGTGAGCTTCTTAGCTGAGCAGAGATTTGAACCCTGTCTCCCAGGATCTAGGCCAAAACTATAACCAGTACACCATATTAGAACATACAATTTCAGAGTATAGATAGATATAATCTTATATGGGGTTTATATTCCTGGCTCTCACACTTTCTGGGCTCTGGGAAAGTCACATGAGGGCACAGGTGAGTTCTCACAAGCTTTTGGATGGCTCTTCCAGACATTTCCTTCCTCTCTCCTGCCCCCTCCCCCTTTTCTGGTGATCTGCCTAGAGCTGCGATCACACAAGTGAGTTAACTGTATGGAATGGTGACATGCAATACATTTATTTAAACATCTATTAAAATGTTTGTATTTATTTTACATTGGATGTAATAATTCAGTTGGTCACCCAGTTCAGTGTTAGACACGCTTAATTAAGCCCATTGAAACTAAGGAACTGAAGTGAATGCAACTGTTCTGGATCAGGGCAATAATTATTTATTTTAAATACCTTTAATTCATTTGAAGAACTAGGCATCCAGCCTTCTAGTTTGTTACACAGGGCAGCTTGCGGAAGATTAAAACCAACGATTTGAATCAGCTTCATTTCAATCAGCAGTCAAGATCAAGTGAAGAAAATTGGTCTGTGACAGCATCAAGTCCGGCAACCAGACAATGCTGCCAAGGCCTTGTCTAAACAGAGAGTTCTGCTTAACTGGCCTCTAAAAACTCACTGGAAAACTGACATGGCCAGCCTCCTTAGGGAGAAAACTAAGAGGCCACCATAAATTTCAATGGAGATTTCTAAGCAGAGGTTGAATGGCCAACTGCTATGGATAATTTAGTTGAGATACCTACATTGCAAGGGGTTCGACTAGATGAACCTTGGGGTCCCTTCCAACTCTGAAAGTTTACGACTCTATTATTCTATGACCCTGTTTCTTCAATCACTTTGTTTTTGTTGTTGTCTTTTCCAAGGAGTCTTCTCTTCTCATGAGGTGGCCAAAGTATTGGAGCCTCGGCTTCAGGATCTGTCCTTCCAGTGAGCACTCAGGGTTTTTTTCCCCTTCAGAATGGATAGGTTTGATCTTCTTGCGGTCCATGGGACTCTCAAGAGTCTCTTCCAGCACCATAATTTGAAAGCATCAATTCTCTGGCGATCAAGCTTCTTTGTGGTTCAGCTCTCTCTTCCATACATCACTACTGGGAAAACAATAGCTTTAACTATACAGATCTTTGTCGACAAGGTAATGGTTCTACTTTTTAAGATGCTGTCTAGGTTTGTCATCACTTTTCTCCCAAGAAGCAGGCGTCTTTTAATTTCTTGACAGCTGTCACCATCTGCCGTGATCTTAGCACTGCAAAAATCAGTCTTCCAATTTCTCAAAAGTTTTCTTCCTCTGCGAAACCAGGCTTTGAGTTTTCTGTCTTGTTCTGCTGGCACTTGAGGATTTCTTTAGAATCCCTTCAAAATTCAGGACTAGATCTAAGGAACAGCTGTGGGGCACCCGGTGGCGAGGCCTGATGGGGTGCCTGGATCGATGGGGCAGATAGTGTTGACATGCAGAGGGCCGCAAGGCCAGCTGGCTAGCCCCCCGCTGAGTCGTCTCCTTCCAGCCGTCCCACTGCGAAGACCCATCGGCTTCTGCTCTGACATAACTCAGCAACCTGGGCTTCAAAGCCAGGGCACACTATCGGCAGATCGAACTGCACACACAGAATAGGCGTGAGGCTTGTGAAGGCATACTACAACTACAGATTTATTACTCATAAATCAGGACAAAAACATGCATCTCTCTTTCTTCTCAGAGAGACTGGGAAAAGCAAGTTCCCAGCAAGCTGTGCTGGAATGAAAACAGACATGTGACACACAACAGTTCCACACGTCAGCTCCTTAAGGTGGAATGGAAATTCTCAACAGATAGTAGGGCTGTGCAAAGCCCTGATAATCTCTACTGGCAGACAGAACATCTCCCACCAGCAGCTGAGGACCAGACCACTCCAGGTTCAACTTCATCACCAGAGTTGGTGTGATAGGTAGCACACTGAATCATAAAATTATAGAGTTGGAAGAAAACCCAAGGATCATCCCATCTAATCCCCTGCAATTGAGGAATCACAACTGAAGCATCCATGACAGATGACCATACAACCTCTGCTTAAAAACCTACAAGGAAGGAAGATTACACTACCATCCATTTTTTTAAGTCCCTAGGAAAATTCATCAGCATTATACAGGGGAGCATGTGGTTCTCTATACGCACTCCTAATATACGCATCATTTATGCAATTTTGCAAATATACAATTTTCATGCATGCATCATGCATATACAAATATAAAACAAAACATATCAGTATATATATTAGAGACTAGAGGATCACTAGTTCCCCAAGCCTGCAATAAAGCCTGGATTGGTGCATTGAAGCATATTTCCACATCTGGATCAGGGCCATTTGGTATGCTAAGTAAATATGGGATATTCATTAAAAGTCAGGTGTCTGCATGATCAGTTGGACAAGTTAAAGGTTTCCTTGCATTATCGTCATAGCTTTCATAATGGAAGCCAAAATACCTTGAACAACTAAGAGTCTGACAGAAACTAATGGGATTTTTAAAAAACATCATGAATCAAACTCAGGCATTCACTGCCTTTAATGAATATTTGAATTTGTATTCGTATCTGGAGAGAACCTCTCCTCAGATTTAGAATAGATTAATTCCTCTTAATTAATTCAACTTGCCTTCATTGAGCTTGTGTTTGTGTAATTTACTTTAATTTGCTTCACCTTTGTTTAATTTGTTTGCCTCATCTTTACGAAGGAGAATGTAAAACTGACACAAAGGAACTTGGCAAAAAACCCTCTGAATTCCAAAGCAATTCATTTTGCCAATCCAGTAGCATAGCCTGAATCATATACCATATGTTATCTGACTGGCGAGTATATATTTATTATATAAGATCAAAGATTAGGGTCAGTTATCTGGTGCGGTTGTTGTGTAGGTTATTGTAGCTGTGTTGATGCAGGCTATTATCCTGTCCAACTCAGTCCAATTTAAGCAGGGAAGGGAGTCATCAAAGGCTGGGCGAACAAATTGTAGTGCAAGCAAGTCAAGGGGTTAAGAACAGATATGTTTGCACCTGCATGGCTATTTATTTATTTAAGAATATTATTGGGCTACTTTTCTGGGTGATCACTTGTCCAAAGTGCTTTGAAAATAATAATAATAATAATAATAATAATAATAATAATAATAATAATAATAATTTATTATTTATATCCCACCCATCTGGCTGGGCTTCCCCAGCAACTCTGGGCAGCTTGCAAGAAAATATTAAAATACATCAAACATTAAAAGCTTCCCTAAACAGGGCTGCCTTCAGATGTCTTCTAAAAGTCTGGTAGTTGTTCTTCTCTTTGACATCTGGTGGGAGGGCATTCCACAGGGCAGGCGCCACTACCGAGAAGGCCCTCTGCCTGGTTCTCTGGAATTTGGCTTCTCGCAGTGAGGGAACCGCCAGAAGGCCCTCGGCGCTGGACCTCAGTGTCCGGGTAGAACAATGGGGGTGGAGACGCTCCTTCAGATATACTGGACCGGGGCCGTTTAGGGCTTTAAAGGTCAGCACCAACACTTTGAATTGTGCTTGGAAACGTACAATGATTAAGTCATTGTAAATAATACCAAAAAAAACAAAAAAAACACTGAAAATTACAACACTGAACATTTTATAAAAATCCAAATTCAAAGGAATGTAGTTTCATTCTGGAAACCAGTTTGAGGAATGCATGAGCATGCAATTGGACTAGAAACTAAATCCAGAAGCATCTCCAGTCAAATATCTTTGAATCTTATTCTTCTGAGGCAAGGAACAGCAAATGAGCCCTAACTTCGTTATATTACACATCTGAACTGCAGTCTAAGAAACAGATAAAAGCTCCTCAGTTCAAGTCTCCTAAGTACAATGGTGTAAACTGGGAATCTGGATCTCCTGCTTCTCACCTCGTATGGGCAACACCATCACAGCATTGCATCATGACCACAACCAGTCTTTACCAGCAACCAGAGAGCAGGGGGGAGGAGCCTTCAAGAGATTTAAATTTGACCCACAAGGCTCCCAAAAGCTCAGCTGCCAACACCTGACACCCTATGTTGCTGTTTTTTAAACGTATTTTTTCTTAAAGATTTCTTGATTTACAAAAGTCTGTGCAATGTCTCTTTTTCAAGTTACATTTTCTACAGATCAGTTTCATTTGTCGAGATATTAGTGTTAGATTAGGAAGAAAGGGGGGAAAGAGGTGGAGGGGCCATGGTGAGGGGTTGGGGTTGGGGGACGATGTTTCTATTTTACGTGTGGGGTTTTGTGTCAGCGTCGCTTCTGCGGGTTCTCTTTACTATTCGCTTGTGTTCCTTTGGTGTTGAGAGTGGTTGGGGTTGGCCTAGGGTGTAGTTGTTTATTTGTGATTGGCTATAGCGACCTTTGTTTTCATGTGTGAGTGGGGTGGGTGTTTTTGAATCAGGTAAGCCATTTAGATTCACATGCTCTTGGTGGATTCTTGTTGTTGTCTTGTTGGGCTGTGTATGTGATAAAGGGGAGCCATACCGGGGTGAAGGCATCTTCTTCTATTTGTCCCTGTGTCAGTTTCAGTTTATTGGTTAGTTTTCCTAATAAGGCTGTTTCGCATACTATTTGGTACCATTGGTCCATGCTTACTTCTGACAGGTCTCTCCAGTGTTTGGCTATGATGTTTCTGGCTGCTGAGAGTAGGTGGGTTATGAGCTCTTTGTGATGTGAGTGGGCATTATTGTCTTGGAAGATGTTTAGTCGGGCCAGTTCTGGGGTGACTTCTAATACTTGCTTAGTTATTTTGCATATTTTTCATATGGTTGTTGTCTAGAATATGACTTAGCCTGATCTTTTATTCCCCTTCCTTCCCCCCCACTCTCCTTTTTATGAAGATTACGCGCTCTGGGATCCCACAGCTAATTCTCCCCTGGTCTTCTCGCTGGCCTAAATAGGACTAATTTAGTCAGCAAGCCCTGGTGAACATCTAATGTTTTTTGGATGGATTTTCTTCCTAAATTGATTTTTGAATTCTGAATTTATTGTTATTCACGTTTTATACTGTATTTTATGCTGTTTTTGTTGCATCAATTGAGTGTTTTAAATTTGTTGTTGGCTGCCCTGAGCCCGGCTTTCTGAGCTGGGAAGAGCAGGGTATAAATAAAAAAAATATTTTTTATTATATAGAATAGTTGGATTTGGGGGCATTCCCGCCACATGTGGAGGTATGTGCCTGTGGAGGCGCATCCTCTTGTATCAGGTTTGGGGCACATAGATACATGGCTGTCAATGCCCTTCTGGGAAGCTTAAAGTGTACACCCAATGCCAGGGCTGTGGATGATGCTTTGCACAGATGTCCCACTGATTTAAATCTACTACAGCTTGCTGTGACTCCATACCCTCCAACATTTTTCCAGTTAAAATGTGGACATCTTCTTCCATACCCTCCAACATTTCTCTGATGCAAATAGGAGTGTCCTAAGGAAAAGCAGGACATTCCAGGATCAAATCAGAAACCGAGATTGCTTCTGTTAATATGGGACTGTCCCTGAAAAATAGGGACACTTGGAGGGTCTGTGACCCTCAGCCATTTAGAATCAAGCTGTCTCCTATTAGTATAGCCAGCCACACTGCTTGGTCACACAAGAGTGTGACAGAGTTCCATTATTTGACCACATAAGGGTATGATGGAATGTTGGGCACTTTCATTTATATAGATGCTTTATACTGTATAACACTTACAGCCAAGTATTGTACAGTTAGCTGGGGTTGGTGGGAGGGCAACAATAATACCGAAAAACAAGTTTCTTTCCAGGAGATGTAAAATATAAAACACTGAGGCAGGAACTACAGGAAGCGAATTAAAGGAGCCCCTAAATGGCAGCTGTTTAGTGTTCCTTGGCGCACTGATGCAATTTTCCAGGATGCGAGATATTAAAATACTCAAGAGCCTGTTTTTTCGTGCCAGAAAAAGAAGGTCTTAAATGCAACTTCATGACCTTTAAAATACTACTAATAATAAAGCTCTTCCAGTAGATATCAACCTCCTGCTAAGTGCTCTCTGTCTTTGAAGTCGTGCTAATTCAAGGCCATTAAAATAGATTCTGTTAAAGGCGCTGTTCCGTCAAACACACCAAACATATAACAAGAGAGAGAGAGAGAGAGAGAGAGAGAGAGAGAGAGATTTAATTAGTGCTGCTCTATATCTTCAAATGTGAATGTTTTCTTGAGTAATAATAGGCTAAGTTTGCCTTCAAAAACCATTTTAATAGTGCTAATACTAGTAAATATTGCTCATTTTGGTCCTGATGCACCATTTTAATAGTTCCCACGGTTTCTAAAAGTCATTTCTTATTGTTTTACTGTAGGAAGAATCTTACTTTAATTATGTCATTATTGTTTGCAAGTCATAGAATCTTAATTAATGCCAGTTGGCTTCAAGGCACACACAGAATGCACACTTGACGCTTCTGATTGTCTCTCGCTCTTCCTCTCGTAGTGAGTCTTTCTTCCCTTCTCTGCCCACAAAGTGTCAGCCTTGTATTTTTGGTCCAATATTAATTGCTATGACATTTTCTTATAGCAAGGTGAACTAATGGGGTGCCCTCTGCCATCAGTTGGACTGCAAATCCCATAAGTCCCAACTCTTGGCCATGCTGGCTGGGGATGATGGTGGTTGGAGCCCAACATTCTCCAGAGGGTCACAGATTCCCCATCGCTGCTTTAAATAAAAGCTTCTTAAGAATTCTTAGAAAACATCTGAAATCTGATTTTGCTTGTCACAACCACTGTGATTATATTTTTGCCTATTTTCCATTACCTCATGGGCTACCCCTGTGTTATAGCATCACTTAAAACATATATCCATGTGGCACTTCCAATATGTTTACTAGGATTCTTACCTGAACGAATTCCTTCGCTGGAGGTCTTTAAGCAGAGGTTGGATGGTCATCTGTTGTGGATGCTTTAGTGGAGATTCCTGCATTGCAGAGGTTGTACTAGATGACCCATCCAACTCTACAATTCTATGAATCTTTTTATATTATCTATCTTCCCAGTACTACCCAGAAACACCATCACTCACTGGATTATCACCTTGTCGTGGTGAGTGGGCTTGCACATTCCTATGACCCTTGTGAGTGAAGCTGTCTGGAATCTCTTACTCCCAGCAGGGTCACCCAAGGCGGTAACGTCAAAGGGAAGGAGCTAGACAAAGAATAATCCAAGAAGTCCTCAACGGCAGAACAGGTGGATGATAATAAGCGGTATGTTATAACAGCTGTAAAGGCAGATGAAGGCTGCAGCAGACAAGAATCTATCAGTCGTTGTGACTATGCATGCCATTGGAACAGAGCCTTACAGTGAAGACTGTGCATTGGTCAGCGTGCACTGATCTACACACATTAAACAAATTCACGCACAGGTGTCTTCCAAAAACCCATCCCAAACCCAAACTCCAAAAGTCCCGTGGCAATTGGCAAATGGTAACAGGGGCAGGATTGTGAAATCTGGAAGCCCCTAGTCATGAACCAGCACACGGGCGGTGGATACAGATTCAGTCGTTCTGACTCAAGGAACGAGACAGTTGAGCAGCTCAGCAGCTGTATCCATGACTGAGCAGCCCTTTGTAGGATCCACTCTGCTTACCTTGAAAATGGAGGGGCTAGAAAAGGTGCCCTTAACATAGTCTTCCTCCCTTTTTCCCTGACTGGATTACAGCGCCCAGTGGGGTCACCACCCAGCAGTTGTAAAAGACAACTGATCTTTGGAACACAGAAAACCCAGAAACACCAGAGATGAAAATCTTCTTCATGCAAAGCAGATTTTGTACCATTGAGCTGTAGCTCTTCCCTGATGGGGCACTCCTCAATGCTGATTTTTATCAATGGTCCTTTGAGCTCAGTATTGTCTTCACTGAATGGCAGTCTCTCTCCAATGTTCCTTGCCGGCATCTCTCTCACCCAGACCTGGATATGCTAGGGATTGCAACCTGTGACCTCCACACAAAGGGATGCTCTGTCAACTGAGTTACAGCCCTTCTGATCCAGACTAGTCTTTCTAGGATATCTGCCCTTCAAGAAGCATATGCCTCCTGGTGGTTGGATGTTGGTCATAGATCTCATTCTCCCACTTTCCTTCTCTCTTTTTCTGTTCCATCCATCCATCCATCCATCCATCCATCCATCAATACATCAAACGGCAAATGCAGGGTCTCCTTGACGACCCTCCTACCCCCCATCTCTTTTCATTGACCTTATGACCCACAATGTCCCTATTTGCTTCAAGTACTTTTATTTATGTCATTCCTTAGGCCCATACATTTTGATTAAAGCCCATATTCTCTGCTTACGGAGCCTATGGAAAAGTGCTCTACAGCAACTGCCATTGCTGGGTAGGCAGTCACCCAATATATGAGATTGAGACAAGGTATAATGTAATGGTAGTTATGTGAATCTCCAATAAACTAGTGGTACTTCACCGATTACTTGGAGAGAAAGTCTTTTAGCGTGCTTGAAGAAGTATGAAATGAATTTCATTTCCTTCTCATTTGCCTTCCTTTTGAAAGGTTTCATGCGAGATATGTGACCAACTATTACAGCGGTAATCCATCCATGACAAAGCTCAATTTTCCCTGAGAATTTACTTCTGAATGGGCTGCCGAAAAACCTGAAAGCTCAGAATTAAAGTACACTGAACAGAGCAGGCAGTGAGCTGTAGACAACTGTCTGTCAAGAAAACCAGTTGGAACAAAAATGTAAATAGGCTTTTTTGGGGGGTTTATTTTAGTGGGTTCTTAGAAGAAACTGATGCCAGTGAAAGTTTCAAGGTTTGCTGCCTGGAATCAGGAATAGGAGTGCTGAAAATTGGCTTGGGGAATGTTGCATGCTTTTGGGGTGTTTTTATTGGCAAGGGTAATCATGGTGGGGCACTGTGATTAATTTATTTATACCCCGAAAAGTCCAATGTATTTGCACTACACAGTCTGACTTGCAATAAACACAAAACAATTCCATGTGAGAAATGCAATAGTAGCTTTTGGGGGGGGGGGTGTGGAACACACATACATTAACATAAGACTACTTGAAGAGCCTGCTGGATCAGGGTAATGGCCTATCTGGTCCAGCATCTCGTTCACACATTGGCATACCAAATGCCTGTGGGAAATAAGAAAGGAGGATTCAAGCAGTAGAGCACTTGCCTCTCCTTTGGTTTCCAGCAACTAGTATTCAGAAGCATTGCTGCCTCATACTATGGAGGCAGAGCAGAACCATTATGGCTAATAGCCATTGAGAGTCCTCTTTTCCGTAGCGTAACTGTGCTGCTTGAAGAAATACTTCATCTTATCTCACATAAGGGTCTGGTATTATATTTGTTGTTGTTTAGCCGATTAGTCATGTCCGACTCTTTGTGACCCCATGGACCAGAGCACACCAGGCACTCCTGTCTTCCACTGCCTCCCGCAGTTTGGTCAAACTCATGCTGGTAGCTTCAAGAACACTGTCCAACCATCTCGTCCTCTGTCGTCCCCTTGTCCTTGGGCACTCAATCTTACCCAACATCAGGGTCTTTCCAGGGAGTCTTCTCTTCTCATGAGGTGGCCAAAGTATTGGAGCCTCAGCTTCAGGATCTGTCCTTCTAGTGAGCACTTAGGGCTGATTTCCTTCAGAATGGATAGGTTTGATCTTCTTGCAGTCCATGGGACTCTCAATAGTCTCCTCCAGCACCATAATTCAAAAGCATCAATTCTCTGGCGATCAACCTTCTTTGTGGTCCAGCTCTCACTTCCATACATCAGTACTGGGAAAACCGTAACTTTAACTATACGGATCCTTTTCAGCAAGGAAATGTCTCTGCTTTTTAAGATGCTGTCTATGTTTGTCATTGCTTTTCTCCCAAGAAGCAGGAGTCTTTTAATTTCATGGCTGCTGTCACCACCTGCCATGATCATGGAGCCCAATAAGGTAAAATCTGTCACTGCTTCCATTTCTTCCCCTTCTGTTTGCCAGGAGGTGATGGGACCAGTGGCCATGATTTTAGTTTTTTTTGATGTTGAGTTTCTGACCATATTTTGCACTCTCCTCTTTCACCTTCATTAAAAGGTTCTTTAATTCCTCCTCACTTTCTGCCATCAAGGTTGTGTCATATTCATATCTGAGGTTGTTGGTATTTTTTCCGGCAATCTTAATACCGTCTTGGGATTCATCCAGTCCAGCCTTTCGCATGATGTACTCTGCATATACGTTGAATAAGCAGGGAAATAATATACAGCCTTGTCCTACTCCTTCCCCAATTTTGAACCAATCAGTTGTTCCATACCCAGTTCTAACTGTTGCTTCTTGCCTCGTGTAGAGATTTCTCAGAAGACAGTTAAGGTGGTCTGGCACTCCCATTTCTTTAAGAACCCCCCATAGTTTGCTGTGGTCCATGAAGCAGAAGTAAATGTTTTTCTGGAACTCTCTGGCTTTCTCTATAATCCATAATCTGGCATTAGATACCAGGGTCCAAATCCCCACCCAGCTAATAAGGTCATGGGGAGTCCTCTTACCATGGCATAATGTTTCATGCAACCCAATCTCCAAGTGGTGAGAGACTTCAAGGATGCCTGTCTGGATTTTGGTTTCCTTTGAATGCAGGTCAATGCAGACTTTAGGATAAATGGTTTTATTTGTGCATGTATACAACTTGAGCATACAATAGAGGGGACTCACAGGATTAATGCTCCACTGACCTTCCTAAGAAGGCATTGCTGTCTCACCAGTCATCCTCAGTTGTATCGTCATGGAACCAAATCTGATTGACGCCATGATGGTGTCACAGGAAGATGGATTTAAAAAATAAAATAAAATAATGATGCTGACACTGTATCTGCGAATTTGAGATAGAAGTGTCTGGGTCAATTCAATGAGTATCAGAGTTTGGTGAGAAGAAGAAGTCACAATATTGAGAAAAGCACTCTTTATTTTGACTCAGCCCATGTGTGTGTGTGTCTGTGCATATGTGCACACGTATGTATACATGCATATGCAGAAGTAGATGGTCACCATATTATATTGAAAATAATATTTTTACTGCAGCAGAATCTCATATATAAAACTTCTGCTGTAATGGAAATATTTTCATTTTTACGTATGATGCCAGAATCTTGGAAGGTCTTCTGCCTGTTCTCCCTACAGACAATTAATATCAATGGAAATAAAGAGCTGCTACATTATATGACAAAGCACAATGGTATTAAAAACAAAACACAATGATGTCTGACTCTCAACATATCCCTAGACTCAAGTAAACTAAGTAAGCCATTTGCTCTAATTGAAGAGGAATTATGCCCTGTTGTTTTCTCTTCCCTCCCAATAAGCTTCAAATATGAAGAGTGATTCATAGTTGGGCTATGTAAAAAACCTAGAGGCTGGAAGGGATGTTGATGGGCTATTTGTAGGGAATGAGGGAAGAGATCCGACGCAATTCACACTGAAAGGCGAACCTGCCTAATTCACATTTTCCAAGACAATTCATCAACTGAAACACAGCCATCTATTGTAATGTGTGCTTCTCTGAATTTTGCAGTTTTCCAGTAAAGTAATGTGTACAAAAATGTATACACCAAGACAAAGTGCGCATAAATTAGTGACGGTAACAGTGTTTCTCAAACATGGGTCCACTACAACTCCCATTATCTCAAACTTGGGTCCACTACAACTCCCATTATCTCTAGCTAGCAGCACCAGTGGTCAGAGATGATGGGAGTTGTAGTCCAATAGCAGCTGGAGATCCATGTTTGAGGACCATTGGGAGACAGCAGAGTGGTGGAATAGAAGTCCCAAATTCAATCCCATCTATCCCCACGTAGGGCTGGAAAAGTAATCTAACAACCGAGTGAACTACTGCCAGTCAGGACAGGCAATGCTGGCTAAATAATAATAATAATAATAATAATAATAATAATAATAATAATAATTTATTTATATCCCACCCTCCACAGCCGAAGCCGCATTCAGAGCAGCTAACAACAGTAAAAGTAACACACTTTACATAAAATCACAATCAATTAATTGAAATACATTCTAAAATCAATTAATTCTAAAATCAATTCAGAATCAAATTAATGGCAACCATTGGGCTAGAGTTCTATGAGGATTACCAAAGGAGAGGGTCAGACTGTGCCTTGGCCAAAGGCCTGGTGGAACAGCTCTGTCTTGCAGGCCCTGTAGAAAGATGTCAGGTCCCGCAGGGCCCTAGTCTCTTGTGACAGAGCGTTCCACCAGATTGGGGGCCACGGCCGAAAAAGCCCTGGCTCTGGTTGAGGCCAGCCTAACCTCCCTGTGGCCCAGGACCTCCAAAATGTTTTTGTTTGAAGACCGTAAGGTCCTCCGTGGGACATACCAGGAGAGGCAGTCCCCTGGGTAATGACACCAGAGGAGGCTTCTGGATCAAGTCAATGGCCCATCTAGTCCACCATATTGTTCTCACAATAGCCAAACCTCAAACTCAAGAGCTCGCTCCTCTCCTGCCTCCAACGGTGGTGACAGAACATCAGCTTTGTGGCTAGTAGCCATTGATCGCTTCCTCCTCCTCCATGAACTTGCCTGAACCTCTTTTAAAGCCATCCAAGTTGGGGTGGCTATGACTACTGTTGGCTATGACTACTGTTCGACAGTGGAATTTGCTGCCAAGGAGTGTGGTGGAGTCTCCTTCTTTGGAGGTCTTTAAGCAGAGGCTTGACAACCATATGTCAGGAGTGCTCTGATGGTGTTTCCTGCTTGGCAGGGGGTTGGACTCGATGGCCCTTGTGGTCTCTTCCAGCTCTATGATTCTATGATTCTATGAATCTACTTCTTGTGAGAGTGAGTTCCACAGTTTAACAAAGTGCTGCACGAAGAAGCCCTTTCTTCCATCTGTTCTGAATCTTCCAACATTCTGCTTCATTGGATGACCATAAGTTCTAATGTTATGGTCTGACTCTGTATATGGCTTCCCATATTCCTGTGCTCTGCGTCCCTGCACCTGTTGTAATCTGTCAAGCAATGCTGGGAGGGATATCTCTTTTGTGACTCCCTACCCCCACCCCTGTTTTCCTTAGGTAAGAAACCAAGGAAGTAAAGGGCATGATAGACTCTGGTGTGTGTGTGTGTTTAATAGCGAGAGACATAGGGTATAAGAAGGTCAGCAAAACAAGCTGGCCTAGGAGCACCTGGCAAATTTATAAGAGGAGAGCGATGCTCCAAGATCAATATTATATTTGACTGCCAGCCAATGCAATTTGTTCAGAATAGGTTAAATGCGCTCCTGCCTCTTCCTTTTTCATAAGGCGTTCCGTTATCAAGAGCATTGCCCTGCCCGAGATCCATCGGAGGTGGAAATGAACATCTGCAACTTTGAAATATTCCATAAATGCAGAGTGATATAGGAGCTATGACAGGCATGAAATCAGGCTGAAACTTTTTATCTGCTGTATATCAGGTTATCAGTGAGACGAAACGACCTTTGCAGAAAGGTTTTCTCTTGCACTTTTCTTCATCTTCTTCTCCTGCCCGTGAAGTGAAATGTAATATATTAATCAAATGTCACTTTTCCATCACTGATGCGACTGATGCAGGGCAGCGCCTAATTGTTATCTCCATCTCTTCTTTCATTATTATGGGCTTGGTTGCGTGATGCCTTTCCTTGATTCAGTTCATGTGTGTCGAAGGGAGCAAGAGAGCGCCTTCTTCCCTTTCCACGGTCCTCTGGAATGCTGACTGCCCCCCGCTCCTCCAAATCACTGTTGGGGGAGAAATTTGATTCCGTTCACATTGAAAAGCAAGCCAGCCTAGTTCACACTATTAAAAACAATATGTGAACTGAAATGAAGCCTGATGTCAAAATCCGCACTTTCGGAATTAGAAATTTTGCAGTGCACTTCTCCAGCCGAATAATGTTTACAAAAATTCATTTACTTATTTCTTTGATTTATAACCCACCTGTCTTCCAAGGAACTCACAGTGGCAAGAATAGTTTTCCCTTCCTTTTTCTTTTCACAACTACCCTGTGAGGTCGGTTAGACTTCTTCTTCTTCTTCTTCTTCTTCTTCTTCTTCTTCTTCTTCTTCTTCTTCCTCTTCCTCTTCCTCTTCTTCTTCTTCTTCTCCTTTCTCCTCCTCCTCCTCCTCCTCCTCTTCTTCTTCTTCTTCTTCTGCTTCTGCTTCTGCTTCTGCTTCTGCTTCTGCTTCTTCTTCTTTCTCTTCCTCTTCCTCTTCTTCCCCTTCCTCTTCCTCATTAAATTTATATATTGCCCTATATCCCCAGGTCTCAGGGTTAAAATCCCAAACAGTGGTGTTGAGGACCTGGAAGCTGCCATTTTAATTTCCAACTGATGCCCTGAAACAGTGTTACATCAGTGTTTCTCTGTTGGCTTTCCTTAGGATTCCACATATGGCTTTATGGCCATAGGGAACCCACCACAATTGCTGTGAATGCTGAACCACCCTCAATCAGTTAATAAGAATAAAAATTGCATTCAAATATGACCAGAAGTTGAAAGAAATTTTGGGTGAAATGCAGATGGTTGCAGTGCAAGTGTTTGTGAGTGTTTTTTTTCTTCTTTCTTTCTGCAAACTTGTAGGGATGTTAAGAAAGCATTATTGTCCTTTCCGCCCTTTATTTATCACATGCTGCACTGTTTCTGTTTCATGAAATTGTAGAAATGTAGGGCTGGAAAGCCCCTCAAAGGCCAGTCAAGTCAACTGCCTGCAATGAAGGAATCACAGCCAAAGAATCCCTGATAGGTGGACGTCCAACCTCTGCTTAAAAACCTCTAAAGAAGGAGAGTCCACTACCTTCTGAGGTAGCCTGTTCCCCTGTTGAACAGCTCTTACTTTCAGAAAGTTCCTCCTAATGCTTAGTCATAATCTCCTGCATCGTAATTTGAACCCATTGGTTCAGATCCCACCTTCTGGAGCAGCATAAAGCGAGCTTGCTCCATCTTCCAAGTGACAGTCCTTCAGGTATCTTAAAAAAGGATATCATCTCACCTCTCAGGCTGGATCTTGACACATCAAAGAAACGTTTCAGTTAAACGCGTTGCAAACTTTGCAAGGGAAATCGGGTTGGCAAAAATGGAACTCCACAGCGCCATTTGGTGTCGCAGTGTTAGAATGCCTAAACAACGCATATAAAGCGATTTTGATTTGCCGAGTCCTCAGCCTTCTCCAGGCTTTCACTGCAGTTCATAGTCCATCAAAAACAACATTATGTAACATATGTATCAGGTGCTGTTGCAGTTGCTCGAGAGTAAGCAGGTTTTATTTTGGTGCAGACTATTTATAGTGAAGAGCCCCAAGGCTCATATCTGGCTCAATCGCTAGCAGAATCCGGAAGTGGTCTTTTTTTGTACCTCCTCCAACATAAAAGTTTCATTAACCCCAACCGTTTCCACCCCTCCCTGCGCCCCAAACTACTGCACAGGATGGGCGATGGCAAGGGCATGCTTCCCCCCTCTCCGGCTTGCTCAGAAGTGGCATTAAGGCTCTCACTAGCATCCTCTGGTCCTTGCACCTCTTCTTCACTGGAGGTGGGGCTTTCCTCCTCTCCGAAAGTGGAACTGTTTCACAAGATTTTTGGAGGCTCCCTGTAACACAACTGCCCTTCTATTTCTTGCCTCTGAGCCGATGGCAGTTCCCTGACAATATGTAACTGAGCTAATTGTGTGAATTGAGCTTTTTCTAACCACGTAGGAAGCTGCCTTATAGAGAGAGTCGGGGCATGGGTCCCTCTACCTCAATATTGTCTACACCAACTGGCTGCAGATCTCCAGGATTTCGGGCAAGGACCATCCATCTCCTAATCCAACATGGAAATGTCAGGGGATTAAACCTGGGACCACCTGCTTCCTAAGGCTCCATTCATTTCAACAAAAAGGAAATGAAATGTAAATAAGGGGCAAACACAATCATTTGTGTATCGTTTGGGGACTCAAATAAATTATGACAGAGAATACCAATTGTGTTCATTTCAAACAAGTGTGATCTGGTTTCTTTCTTTCTTTCTTTCTTTCTTTCTTTCTTTCTTTCTTTCTTTCTTTCTTATCTTTTCTTCCTTCCATTTCTTTCCCTCAATCCTCTGCTGTCCTTATTTATTTATTTATTTATTTAGACCATCGCATGACTTCCATTGCGTTTCCAACAGAAGTCTTTTCGGCTGAAGAGTCATGGGTAAAATAAATAAACAAACAAACAAATAAATAAATAAATATTCCAAGGGAAGTAGGTGGGAGAGAGTACTGGAAGTTATCCACAGAAAATGAATTATGCACTAAATTGTAAATATTCTATTTCTTCTCCTCATTTGAAAGTCCCCAAAGAAATATGAGCACTTGATTTAAAATTCAGCTTTAGTGACATTTTCTGACTGCGCACAGAACCTCTGTGAATGCAAGGAGTTTGCAGTGAAAGATAGCTTTTTTATTGGGGGGGGGGTCTGCCACTGGGTGTTAATTTTTTTGTTTATTTGTTTGCAGCCAAGCTGCAATCACTCTTTCCTCCTTTCCAAATCAAATGAAATACCTTTTGGAAGGCAAGGTGATGTAAAAAGAAAGAAAGAAAAAGAAATAAATTTCAGAAAGGAGGGATTTAAATAAATGCATCTCTCTCCCCCCCCCTTTTCTTCGTCTTGCAGAAATATGCTGTAACTTATTTATACAGTGAAAAATATTTATACTGCAGGATAAAAAATTCATTCAGATAAAAATACATATTACGAGGTGCATAAAGTACGTTGGCTGGGGATGAAGCATAATCTCTTTGCAAGAGATGGTAAGTAAGCACCAGGCAAGGAGCTTCATAATAGATGACTTCACCTGTTGTTTCCCTCGAATTTGTTAAAGCCGTAACACGACTTATTATTTCCAATGCCTCCTAAGCACGACAGATACCCCAAAGCTCTATGCAAACAAGGTGTTACTGTATCTATCTAAAATGGGAACAGGGGATGGTTTCCTTTTCTCGTTTGGATTTAAGAACTGAGCATAGCAGCTGAGGACAGAACGCTGCAGAAGACAGAACTCAAAATGACCTTAACAGGTTAGAGAGCAGGGTCGAAACTAACAAAATGAATTTCAATAGGGACAAATGTAAGGCTCCACACTTAGGCAGGAAGAACCAGATGCACAAATATAAGATGGGGGGCACCTGGCTTGCCAGTAGTGCACATGAAAAGGATCCAAGGGTCTTAG